ATTACCGAGAGCTGCTTAACATCCTCCATTATTTTTGGCAGGGCAGGATTCAGGTGTTCAGGCATTTGATTTGGCCCATCAGAGTCTCAGCCACATCCCACCAGGGATTAAACTCATGACTGGGGCATGAGAGGTGGCAGAAGTGGGGAATGCCGCCATGTGCCAGGTGCTTGCCTCAGTTGCACTAGCAAGGTACTGCAGAACTTAGGTGAAGTGACTCCCATCATTAGTTAGGGTTAGTCCTAGGCAAATTGATCCTCTCACCAAACTCAACTTGATGGACAGTTGGTCTGTCCTGTGTCCCCTGTTATCCTCTCTGATTTTATGGCTAGTGAGGAGGATCTTGGCTCCCCTGGAGTCTGGTAGCCAAAGTTTCTAACACTAGGGAGATGGAGGGAGAGCTCCACCCTGCTGGCTAACTCACTTCATGACACTTCAACTGCATGACACCAGAGCTTTGCAACTGAAAACCAATACATTCCTGACCACAACACAGATGTCAGGCCACTGGAATAGTACCCAGCTCAAGAGGCAACTCACCTTAGAGTAGTGGTCCACTGGGTAAGGACCTGATCCTAGGAACAGAGGCTGAAACAGCACATGAAAATACCCCCCTTCCACTGGGACCTGCCCTCCAGTGGCTGCAGGGGTGTCCAATGGCTCTGAGCACCAGTTCCAGGCACTGCAACTTCAGGGGAATCTCTAAGTTCACACTGAAAAGCAGCAGCACGAAGCAGCTACAGATGCTCTCAATCAATAATTCTCTGTCATAGACACAGGGCGCCACTTGTGAGAGACACTTAGCAGATCATTCCCAGATGAGAAGGCACTGTAGAGGAGTACAATCCATATAAATCACACATGCATTGCAGGGTCTTAGTCCACCCGTACAAGGATGGACTGGGTCCAAGGAAAGGTAAGTGCGCCGCTCGCCCGTTCCCCAGCCTCCTGATCCTGAAGACAATCAGAAGCAGCGGGGAGCCAAGTCTAGCAAGAACTCCTTTATTTCGCGTGTAACAGAGCCTTTTATAGCACAAAACTGCAGAGTCATTGGGTCAGGGCTAAGGACCAACCAATCACTTAAATGGTCATTTTATGGGGCGATTTCTATAGGACTAGCCATATGTCTATACAGTTGTTACTAGTTTTGTTACTTCCCCTGATGTTGCATGGCCAATCAACTTTAGTGGTAAACAACTTTGGATTTCACCCACCTTACTTCCTCTGGGCACCATCTTTGAATTGCTTCGTGTAACTAATTTCCCCACAATGCATTTTCTCCTATTGTTTGGAGAGCTGTTAAATAATTGGGGTTCTGGTATCAGAGAATCTAGCAATGCTGCCCTCACAGGAAATGAAGGGGAGCTGGACAATGCTGCTCACAGAGTTCATTGCATGGATAGTTCTTTTCCAGTCTGACAGCTCAACCCATGACCAGGACAATCATCACATAGAAAAATTGATAATACTAGGAGGTTCCCATGCAGCCTTTGTGTGACCTGTGTGCAGGAAGTGCCTGCTGGATCTTTGCTCTGGCCCTGAGATCATGACTTCATGTTCTCATTGGCATACCAAGGAAAACCTGACTTGGTGCAGGCCCTGGATCCTCCAGTGGCAAGTGCAAATTCCTCACACCACACCAGGAAACAAGTTCAGAATTGACTTACAGCTCCTGGGCAAGAAGGACTTAAGGTGCCAGAAGAATAGTCTCCATTCATGGGATCATAGGAGGCAAGAATGAAGAGTCAGGAGGGGAGGTGGTGGGGGAACAGAGACAGAGCAGGACACAACTCACAATGTATACATATACATGGACACTTCAGAATGTTGCTGGGAAATGGAATGAAAAAGATGTTTATTTTGGAGCAAGAATGTTTGAAATCCATGATGTTTTCATATTACACATTGCCATCAACTTTTTGAAGTTCACTGGTATCAGGGAAGAGGCTGTGGGTCACATGCAGTTCACAGAAAATGCATGAATGGTCCATCTAAAGCAAGTGTTGGCAAAGAAGGGAGCCCTGTCTGCTAGGCAGGAGAAATGTGTCTAAGTTCTCAAATCAGGTCACTGGGCTCAGACATATGGGTGTGATGTACTACTGGAGACTGTGTCAATGGTGACAAGAGCCATGTTCCAGGTAATAAATATGCAAAATGGGTGCCCAGGCTACAAAAAATTATATGATTTAATGATACCATACTTCCCAGAGCAGGGCAGTACACAGTGCTGGAATTCACCCCAATCAGAACCAGCTAAGATAGCACCTGTGGCAGAAGCCCCATCTGGAATGTCTGTCAGACTTCTCCACCTAGAACCAGTCTGCTGTTACCAAGTCTGCAAGAAATAACCACTTGGGTCAGGGTCAAGGCCCTAGCTACAGGAGTCCAGCACGTCTGGTCAAGTGAGGGGTTTGACATAGAAGGTTTAGTCCCCACTGGTGTACTTCTCTAGCTCTGAGGCCAGTGGTTGTCCTACCACATGCCTGATGGTGACTTTGCCTGAGCCCTTACCACAGGCCCAGCAGGGAGACAGGGCAGGAATATGGGGAAGGGGTGGGCCAAGCCTGACCAACATTCCAAGCACAGCCCCTCTCTCCTCCTTTCTGTCCTCACTGCACCCATCTTGCCCAGGTCTTGGTTAGCTCAGGTCATGACCGTCTCCCCCAGGATCTCCCTGTCAGTCGTGAGGCAGTCAGCACTCACGTGATCATTCTATCCAAACACTGGGGATTGCTGAGACATCGTATGCATCCCAGGGTAGGATGGAGAGCCTCCTCCAAGAACTCCACCATTGTGAGATCCCTGATTCCCTGCAGTTGAGGTCAGTGCCCTCTTGTGTTTAAGGACCAGATCAGGGCTGGCGCTGTGGCTCACTTGGTTAATCCTCCGCCTGTGGCACCGGCATCCCATATGGGCGCCGGGTTCTAGTCCCAGTTGCTCCTCTTCCAGTCCAGCTCTCTGCTGTGGCACGGGAGGGCACGGGAGGGCAGTGGAGGATGGCCCAAGTGCTTGGGCCCCTACACCTGCATGGGAGACCAGGAAGAAGCACATGGCTCCTGGCTTCGGATCGGAGCAGCACCAGCCATAGCGGCCATTTGGGAAGTGAACCAATGGAAGGAAGACCTTTCTCTATGTCTCTCTCTCACACTGTCTATAACTCTACCTGTCAAAATAAAATAAATAAATAAAGGACCAGATCACCACCTGTGAGCAATAGATCTCACCACTGCCTTTTCTCATTTGATCTTTTATGGATTCTTGATAAGTGCCACACCCTCTTGTACTCCCTGAGTGAGATCTTCCTCCAAGGGGGATAGTTCCTAATTAATTTAATACACACACACAGGCGCACACGCGAGAATGCATACACACACACCTTGAATTGAATTCACTCACACAACACTTAGAAATGGGAACCCATCATGAAGAATCTATCTCTGGCAATTTCAGCATGCAAGCACTGTGGAGTGCACCTACACACACCCAGATAGTATAGACCAGTCACAATGCAAGACATCTTGATGCAATCAAGAGACACAGTAACAGACATAAGAATAAATTCTTTTTTATATGTGTAGGAATACCCTCTAAAATAATGATAAAGAGTAAATATATAAACTAGTTAACATTCATTATCAAGTATTATATACTATTCATAATTGCACATCCTATAATTTTATGTGACTGGTAGATTTTTTACACCAACATCACCACAAACATGTACATAATGTGTCTGCTGTCATATCATGGCTACCAAGTCAGTAACAGAAAGATTTTGGCCCCTTTGTAATTTCATGTGACTAGAGTTATATATATATATATATATGGTCTTTTGTTCACCACAGTGTCAATTCTGATGCCATGACTGTATATTTGTCTCCTTTACCTACTGATCACATAATCTGTCAGAAATGGGAACTGGCAGAGGCTATGCTCAGGTCTCTTGGTCATGAATCTGTCCAACTTGGTCTCACACTCATGCTGCTTGGATCCTGGCTTAGGGAAGGAGGCCACCCAACCTTCAGTGAGGTTGATATCAGATCACAAAGCACATATGAAATTACATGGGACCTCAACTGACAGTCAGCAAGATCCAATTGGGACACCCAATATCATGTGCAGGAAAATGCTTGTGAGGGTGGTCAAACTGCATTTTATGGTGAACATATAGAACATTCAGACCCTAGGTTCACACTTGCCTTAGGGGCAAACTTGCCATTTCCCAATTATGCATGTGAAACTCATTACTGGAAAAGGGACAGCTGGCTAGCTAGGACGTGAAGCACATGGAAGCTCTGATCACCAGAACATCCACTCCAGCTACAGGGTGTAGGTGCCTAGGTTGACTCAATTTCTCGACTTCCAACCTCAAGATGAACCTGCGGGCTGGCGCCATGGCTCAATAGGCTAATCCTCTGTGGCGCCGGCACACCGGGTTCTAATCCCGGTCGGGGCGCTGGATTTTGTCCCAGTTGCCCCTCTTCCAGGCCAGCTCTCTGCTGTGGCCCGGGAGTGCAGTGGAGGATGGCCCAAGTGCTTGGGCCCTGCACCCCATGGGAGACCAGGAAAAGCACCTGGCTCCTGCCATTGGATCAGCGTGGTGCGCCGGCCGCAGCGCGCCAGCCACGGCGGCCATTGGAGGATGAACCAACGGCAAAAGGAAGACCTTTCTCTCTGTCTCTCTCTCTCACTGTCCACTCTGCCTGTCAAAAAAAAAAAAAAAAAGATGAACCTGCTATTTTCTCCTGTGTGTCCTGCACCTGACTTTTCTCTCCACCACTCACTGGGACGTGACTCTTTCTCCACCCTTCCATTGAAACTAAGGAGGGAGAAGAGCCAGTATCTGGTAACTCAAACTTTCAAATATGAAAGCTGAGGATGTGCTGAGGATGACACACAGCTTCTTCCTGAGCTGCCTGTGTGTGTGGTTGCACCAGAGGGAGATCAGCAGTGCAGAAGTAGGATTGCATCAAGCAAGGGCAAAGATGAGCCCAACACCAGAATACTACAAAAACATGACGGAAACATATGTTTATTGTAGTGCCAATTAAACAAGGGAACTGCTCTTAAAATTCTCTCTGACAGAACAGCTCCCAACCCTCTAGAAAGGGCAGAACATGGAACAGGAAAGGTACTTTAATTTGAAACTGGGGTAGAGAGAGGACAAAATCATGGGTGCAGAGGAAGTGCTAGCTGAAGAGAAACTGGAGAGCTGGGTTCCACAGGGAACAGCTGCTTGTCTGGTAGAAGATGCTGGGTCCCACCTGTGAAGTAGAGGAGGGGCAGGGCAAGGCCATGTCCAAAGGTGACACCTGCCCACATCTCTTAAACAGCCAGGATTGTGGCAAGGGCAATGGTACTTATAACACTCACTTCACAGCTTCCGGAACTTCTCAGTGAGGGACCGTACCACCGCTGAAAGACAAAGACAACAAGGCACTCCAGAAACTGACCTACAGAAATGTAGCCTCCTAAATCCCAGGTCTGGAGAAGGGGACCACTTAACTTTGCCAAGTGTTAGCCCTCTAGCCCCCACCAAAACAGCCCTGAAACAGACCTACCCACCCATCACCTGAAATACACGCAGGAACACCTTCTAGACAGGAGCAAAAGGGACCATTTTCAGACGTTGGGTCATATCAGAGCCATTCAGAACATGTTTAAAAGCAAGCAATCGAACAACAGAAGAGACTACACAAGCCATACCAAGCAGCACTTCCAGGGAAAATGTGCGGTAGCTCTAAATGTGCTGAAGGAGATTCCCTGGGACTCGAGATAGCACATGTGCAGCTCAGAAAACACATTTCCCACTGGGCACACACCTAGCTATAGATGTGCACAAGGCTCCAGGGCTAGTCCCGCTTGGTTCTCATGCCCAGAGGAATGAGGGTCCCAGTAACGTGGCCCTCATTTGTAGCACACTGAAATCCCATGCCTGGTGCCTGCATGGAGATGCCCTGATCTACCTCTGCCCCAGGCCCAGCCCCAGCTCCAGCCCCATTCCCAGCCCAGGATGTGTCATACCTAGTTGTTCCCGAAGGTCATGTACTTCCTTCTGCAGCATGGTACGCTACTCAAGCAGTCGGGGGTGGGGGGAGAGAGAGAGACATTATTATATCCTCCTTTTTCTGCCTCTAACTGTCCCCACCTCAGGCCCTTACATCTGGCACCTGCCACAGCCCAGCGGACAGGATGGTTTGAAATCCTAAAAGGAAAGCAGGCACCTCTGTCCTGTGGTGAGGGATGGTGAGCAGGGGACACAGATCCCACCATGTATTTTGGACCTCGTTTCAAGGAGCCAGAGACAGCATTACCCGAGAACAGCCCTCTATTCCAGGTGGTAACTGCTGCCTTGCTGGTCTCCGAGGACGGACAGGTGGTTCCTGGTCATCTGAAAGAGAAGACAAAATTCAGCTTTCCAGCCTGAGAATGAGGTAGAAAGGGCCTGGCTGAATCTAACGTGAAGCAGTCTCACACTGCTGGCAACATGTTACCTCTGCTCTGCCCAGGGGCTCCAACTTTATCTGTGGGATGCCTTTCCTATACCCCAATGTCGGCCCATGTGCCCCTGTGGCTCCCTTGTGCCGTGGCTATGGATAGTGCACTAGCTGAGCCACAGCTCCTGACAGCTCCCAGTAGGAGCCACGTTGTTGTGCAGACCTTAACAGGGGAGGCTCTGTTCTATTGTTTCTGGTTTTGGAACTTAAGGCTGCCACAAACCACTCCCACTGCACAAACACCATTCAAAGGATGATGTGGCCAAAGGCTAGCCCTGGTAACATCTATTTCCTGTGAAGAGCAGGGAAGGAAGCCTGGGAGCAATGCAGATTCTCTACAAATGGACAGAGCCAGAGGTTTCTGTTCTCAACCCCAACCCCCAATCGATTCAAGCCCACCAGACTCACTGGAGAGTGCAGGGCCTCTGGGTGTGACACTGCCCTGACTCAGGGACGAAGCCTCCAAGTTTTCTGAATCTTGGAGCTGTCTTCTGTTACGTTCTCCACTGCTGAATTCTCCACCAGGCACATACTTGCAAGGTGTCCCTGGTTTATCTGCTGGAAACTAAAAAAAAATTTCTTACTGTTGGGAATGTCTGTGTATTCATTTGGGTAACGGCTGGAGTGAGGTGAATTGGGGAATAGGAAAGGGAATCAGGGGATCATCTCATTAGGTCGTTCTCTATGACTCAGCCCCAGGCAAGGAGGCAGTGTTGGGCCAGAGGAAAGAGTAGGGAAACTTAAAGGCCCACACTCCCTGTCAAGCAGCCTTGGGGAGCACCAAGGAGGGAGGAATCATGGGAACAAGAAAACTCAACACGAAGGTTTGCAGCCCATCTGCAAGGGGTCACTCAAGTCACTCAAATCAGGCAGCAGCCATACTTTCCATCCCAGCCCCTCCCTGGGAAGGAGACAGGCAATGCGCAAAGTGTCAAGAACACTGCCTGGTAAAATCAAGCACCCTCTAGGCTGTTGTCCCTACCTTGGGGAACCCAGTTCAGCACCTTAATGACACTGAGTAATACTGGACAGAATGTCCAAAGTCCAGAGCAGAGTGGAGAAGTGTGGGCTGGGGGAGAGGGGAGAAATGAGTAGACAGGACGAGGGGACGGGGCAGAGAAGAGTAGAGGGAGAAGGGGAGGACGGGGGAGGGGAAGGCCTACTCACTTGAGCCCCTGAGTCTGGATCTCTGTCTGGGCCACGATCTGCAGCCACAGGCTGGGACTTCCTCCTGGCTGCAGAGTCCTTCCCAGTGTCACCCTGCTGGGACTGCTTGTGCACCCAAGGGAGCGAGAAAGATGTATCCGGCTCCTCAAGCAGTGAAATGCCAGGGATTTTAGGGAAGGTGACTGGATACCCTGGAGCTGCTGATGCTCTCTGGCCCCATGGAGCAAAGGCTGACCCCAGGACAAACTCGGGACAAACCACTAGGGGTTTCTTCTCTTTTGCTTCCTTCTTCCTAGAAGTGGCTTGGGGCAGGCTTCCTGCAGGAGCAGCAGGAACTCCTGGGTGGGTGGGGCTACCCCCTCTCTTCCCAGGCAACCCACTGAACACTTTTTTCGATGAAGAGGGACCCAGCTCTCCCATCCCCTGCATTTCCATGGCCTTAGTGAGTCCCTGGAGAGTAGAGGTTAAGAAAGGGACTGAAATGTGAGGGAAATTCTCCCCGCCATGGGAAGTCGAGGCTATGGGGCTCTCTGGCGGTTCCTCAGAGCTGTGGTCCTTGGTCCGGTCTCTTCTTTCCAGGCGAGGGCTCACCCTCAAGGGCTGCACGTCCCAGAACTCATCCGAGGACTCTGAGTCAGAAGGCAGCTGGAGCCAGCCTTTCGTGCCAGTGCGCTGCTCATCCGTGGTGAATATCAGGCGGCGTCTGGCGCTTCTTGTCTTGCTGTGGCCCTGGTCTCGGCCTTTCCTGAAGGCACTCACTGGCCGAGGGGCAGCAGAACGCTGCAGGGACTCTGCACAGCTCAGGCCCAACCCGCCTCTACCGCTGATGCTTGCCTTGACAGGGGCCCAAGCGGCGGCCGCTTCGGTGGCGCCTCTTCCTACTCCCGGAAGTCCACGCGCCATGCTAACACTCAGCGGCTCCAGGATGGCAGCACACGCCTCAGCAAACTGGACCGCTGGCCCCACAGCGCCCTGCCTGTCGGTGGTGGGCGACTTAGGCCGGGCCTCGCAGTCCCGAAGCACCGCCGCGCCCTCCTGGAACATTTCCAGCTGCGACTCAGACTCAGATTCCGACTCCAACTGCCGCTTGAGGGCCTGCAGGCTTGAGGGCCCGCTCTCCCCTCTGCCCCTGCCCCGGTTCTGGCCCTGGCCTTGGCCTTCGCCGCTTCCCGCCGGAATCAAATCCAAGCCTAGGACACGTGACCGCGGGGTTCCGGGGCCTCCAGGGTCCTCCTGCTCCCTGCTCCTCAGGGAAATACGGTCGCTAAAACCAGACGCCTTACTGTGGGCACTCATGTCACAAGTCTGGGCTGACCTGGCTGAGGGCGGACGGTCGACCTGGTCAGGAGCGCCTCAGAGAGGGCGCTGGGCGGCGCGCGATACAAACAGCGAAGCCTTGACGCTGCCGCTACCACAGGGGTCGCAAGGGATCGCTTCAAACAACGCGAGGCTTTCTCGCGCGCTTTCTGTGGTGCACAGCGGCCTTCTCATTGGCCAGCCAACCACGCCAACCAGGCTCTTTCCGTCTAGGGCCGCCCCTCAATGTCCCAGCCAATAGGGAGGAGAGTGCTGCCAAGTATGGCTCCTGATTGAGTGGTCACAAGCCAATCGGGTGGTCAGAACTAGTGTCGGGCACTTGTCCAACCTCCTCCTTTCTGAAGTGTGGAAAACCAAGTCTGGGAGCCTCGGTTTCCTCACTGTACAGCTGGGGGAGGGGGGCGGAGGTGATTACAGCATCTATCTCAGTGCCGTGTGGAAGAGCAGGCAAGGATGACTGTGAAACCCTCATAGCAGAACGGAATTGCAAGCCTCCATTCCACTAACGTCTAGACCCACCTCTAATAGCAAAATAGGAAGCCTATTTTCAAGGATTTGTAGTCAGCATACGTTTCCCACAGCAACCCACATAGCAAGTTTTTTAGGATTTATGGCTGTACTAACTGTGCCACAACTGCTCCATTCAGATCGGTAATCAGGTGGCTGATGGCTGTGAGCCCGTGATATTTTGTTGGCCAGCTGATTTAGCAACTTGGCAGGCCAGAGTTTATCACTTTTATCATATCTGCCCCACTTCCTTCCAGTTCGAATTCTTTCATAAAAGCAAGAATCATACTTTTTGGAAAAATTATTTTCATTATCTCGTTTTTAACATTCTCTGATATGTGTAGTTTTTTAAATAATATGCATTAATGAATGTGTCTTGCAACTAAGATTGAGCTCCGTAAAATGTTTGCCAATATCTTCAATTATTAAACTCATAATTTGAAAATGTTGGCAAAAAAAGCAAGAATCTCTGATCATGGGCGCTCCCAAGAGATGCTCACCATCACTGAATATAAAGGTGTAAATTAAAAATCAGTTTTCACAAGCCAGGTTTGCTACAGTTAAAGAGCTTAAGAATTCTAATGTTGGCAGAGTCCATAAGCAAACAAGTGCTTTTGCCCACTGCTGAGGACAAAGGGAGAAGCAGCCACTGAAGAGGGTAATTTGTCAGAACCTGTGAAACACCGATTATATCTCCTATACTATGGACCTGGCACTCTGCTAAGCACTGTAAATCCATGTTAACTTGTCCTCAAGTCTGTCCTTGGTTGAAGGATCTGCCATTTGTGCCTTCTCAAGTGGTTGGAAACAGACACAAAGAGGTTCAGCCACTTTTCCAAGGTCATCAGGCTTTCTAATATGAGCACAATATTATACCACGCCGTATGTCTCCTGACATGGTGCTCTTTCTAAACTTTTCAATTTATTTTTGAGAGACAGGAGAGTGAGATGGAGAGAGAAAGCAGAAGAAATAGAAAAAGCAGAGAAATCCAGAGACAGCGATGTCTCCCATTCCATGCCTCACTGCCAAAAAGCCTGCTGTTCCAGGGATCAGGAGCTGAGACTTTAATCCAGGCCTTCCACCAGGTTGGCAAGAACTCAACTAATGTAGCTGTCACCACTGCCTCAAACGGTTCACACAGCGTAACCTTGAGTCACAAGCCAGAGCTGGGTATCAAAACCAGGTACCTTTTTTTTAGTAGGTTAATTTGTTATGATTTATTTTTGTCCAATTTTTAAAATAAAAACTATTTCAAACATACACAAGTCCCAGAATTACATAACAGCTATCCATGGCTATCCCAATAACAATTGCCACTAGATAGATTTGATCATGTTGATATTTTGCTAAAGATTTATTTTATTTGACAGAGTTAGAGAGAGGTAAAGACACAGAGACAGAAGTCTTTCATCAGCTGGTTCACTCCCCAAGTGTGTCCACAACAGCCAGAGCTGAGTCGATCCAAAGCCAAGTGCCAGGAGCTTCTTCCAAAACTCCCACGTGGGTGCAGGAGCCCAAGGACTAGGGCCATCCTCTGCTACTTTCCCATGTGCTATATCAGGGAGCTGGATTGGAAGTGGAGCAGCCAGGACTCGAACTGGTGCTCATATGGGATGACGGCGCTGTAGACCAGGGCTTTAACCTGCTGTGCCACAGCGCCAGATCCATTTATTTATTTTTTTAGAAATTAATTCAGGCCGGCGCCGCGGCTCACTAGGCTAATCCTCCGCCTTGCGGAGCCGGCACACCGGGTTCTAGTCCCGGTCAGGGCACCGGATTCTGTCCCAGTTGCCCCTCTTCCAGGCCAGCTCTCTGCTGTGGCCCGGGAGTGCAGTGGTGGATGGCCCAAGTGCTTGGGCCCTGCACCCCATGGGAGACCAGGGTAAGTACCTGGCTCCTGCCATCGGATCAGCACGGTGTGCGGGCTGCAGCGCGCCAGCCGTGGCGGCCATTGGAGGGTGAACCAACGGCAAAGGAAGACCTTTCTCTCTGTCTCTCTCTCTCACTGTCCACTCTGCCTGTCAAAAAAAGAAAAAGAAATTAATTAATTCAGTTTCTACTTAATATCCTCCACCACCCACTTTCCTCTTCTCCTTCCCCAGAGACTTGTATAATTTAATATGAGGGGTCTTCAAAAAGTACATGGAAAATGGATATTTTGAAAAAACTATACATAGATTGCAAACATCTACTGTATGAAAATAAACATATTTTAATCATGTTTCCCATGAATGTTTTTATTTACCCTTCTATAGCTTATATTTTATCACAATCTACTATTCTGTGTTTTCAGACATGATATAAATATAGTAGATACTTCTACTGTAACTGGCCCCTGAATTTTCACAGATGTTTATAATCTTTACATGACAATGCATTTCATCCATTTTGGGTTTTTTGTTTAAAACTTTCTTTTTAAATTTATTTATTTTATTTGTTTGAAAGAGAGAGACTGGCAGATTGAGATCTCCCCTCTGCTGGTTCACTACCCCTGTGTTCCCAGTGAACAGCATGCAGACCAAAGCCAGGAGCTAAGAACTCAATCCTGGTTTCCCATGTTGGTGGCATTAGCAAGAAGCTAGAATAGGTAGCAGAGTCAGGACTGGAACTTAGGCGATCCAAGCACTACACCTAACACCTGCCCCTGGCTCATGAGCAGGTAGAGTATCTGCACTGTAGAGGGTCTCAACCTTGGCTGCACATTAGAATCACGTGGGGGAATTTTTTATAGAAAAATTTTATTTAATTTTTTAAAAAGATTTATTTATTTATTTGAAAGTTAGAGTTACACAGAGAGAGGAGAGGCAGAGAGAGAGAGAGGCACTCTTCCATCCGCTGGTTCACTCCCCAATTGGCCACAATGGCCAGAGCTGCGCCGATCTGAAGCCAGGAGCCAAGAGCTTCTTTCTGGTCTCCCACACGGGTGCAGGGTCCAACGACTTGGGCCATCTTCTACTGCTTTCCCAGGCCATAGCAGAGAGCTGGATCGGAAGAGGCGCAGCCGGGACTCGAACTGGGCCCATATGGGATGCTGGCACTGCAGACAGCAGATTCACCCGCTATGCCACAGCGCCGGCCCCTCTGCTGCTTTCCCAGGCACATTAGCAGGGGCGGAATTGGAAGTGGAGCAGCCAGGACTCGAACTGGAGTCTATATGGGATGACAACGCTTCAGGCAGTGGCTTTAACCCACTGCGCCACAGCGCCAGCCCTGAAAAATTTTATTTAATAAATATAAATTTCATAAGTACAAATTTTGGATTACAGCGGTTCTTCCCCCCCATACCCGCCCTCCAACCCCCAAACCATCCCACTTCCTACTCCCTCTCCCATCCCATTCTTCATGAAGATGCATTTTTAATTATCTTTATATATAGAAGATCAACTCTATACCAAGTAAAAATTTCAACAGTTTGCACCCACACAGACACACAAAGTATAAAGTACTGTTTGAAGACTAGTTTTACGGGCTGGCACAGTGGCGTAGCAGGTAAAGCTGCCACCTGCAGTGCCGGCATCCCATATGGGCACTGGTTCGTGTCCAGGCTGCTCCACTTCTGATTCAGCTCTCTGCTATGGCAGACCCAGAAGAAACTCCTGGCTCCTGACTTTGGATCAGCACAGCTCCGGCCGTTGTGGTCATCTGGAGAGTGAACCAGCGGATGGAAGATCTCTCTCTCTCTTTCTCCTCTCTCTCTCTTTCTCTCGCTCTCTCTCTCTCTGTAACTCTGACTTTCAAATAAATAAATAAATCTTTTTTTAAAAAGACTAGTTTTACCGTTAATTCTCATAGTATAACACATTAAGGACAGAGGTCCTATATGGGGAGCAAGTGCACAGTGACTCCTGTTGTTGATTTGCCGTGAGCGTCTCGGGGAGTCTGGCCAGCAGACTCAACCCAGGGCCCACGACGACGGTTTCTCAGGCAAGAAAAGAACGAACGACGTTTATCGGTCTTCAGTAGACTTTTTATTAGAGAAAGTAAACGTGACAGAGGTAGAGAGGAAGGAGGAAAGGAGAGGAGAGAGAGAGAGAGCTTCCTCCTCACACCCGCGGCTTATATACAATATGTGACCAATCAGGAGCAAGCTAGAGTCCATGCATCAGGCACACCAATCCGGTCTCTGTTCACGTGAAGGGCACGCGTCCTTCGGCCAATCAGGTGAGGTGTCATGCAGCAGGCAGGCAGGCAGACTCACTGCGGGGGTCCTGGCGCCATCTTGTTGTTTACTGCGACCTCGATCCCTCCGCCTCCGGAGAGCCCCGCCCATAGGAAAGCCCCCCGGTCAAAACCAAAAGTAAAAACCTCCGCCTAGCAATGCCGCCGCGGACTATTCCCCCACATTGATTTAACAATTGACACTCTTTTTTTTTCATATTTGAATTTTTTTAACTTTTAGTTAATGAATATAAATTTCCAAAGTACGACTTATGGATTACAATGGCTTCCCCCCCATACCGTCCCTCCCACTCGCAACCCTCCCCTTTCCCACTCCCTCTCCCCTTCCATTCACATCAAGATTCATTTTCGATTCTCTTAACAATTGACACTCTTATTTATGACGTCAGTGATCACCTGAGGCTCTTGTCATGAGCTGCCAAGGCTATGGA